CCCTGATCTCTGGTCACTACAGATTAGAATTTGGATGACTGCAAATTAAATTTGGGCTTATTTTAACCTGTGTAATATACAACTTACATTCTTTATAGCCTAACATAGAAGTTGTGCATTTTTTTTCCCCACAAAAGACACAACTGGTTTTGAGCAACAGAAAGATATACAGATCTACTTTTCAATACATAGAAAAAGAGTGTCTACCCTTTATGATCACAGGCAACAAGGAAGTGATAGGAAGGAGCCTTGAAACCCAAGGACCTGTGAGTTGGCAGCCTCACCCATGAAAAACTGCGTGACAGCAAATACCACGCTAAAAAAGCCACTCAACCAGATGAAAAGTGAGACAAACACAGGGATTAAAAGTTACAGGAATGCATAAGTGAGTGGGATGGAGCATAATCCGTGCAAAAATGTGGAGGTCCTTGGGAACAAAGGCCCATCAAGGTCCTACGTGATTAAATGTGAAATGTGTATTTGGTAAAAACTTTTAAAAAAAAAATCTCATATTCTAGGCGTTTCTAAAGGAAGGTTAATAACAGATGACAAACAGTGACCACCCCACAGCTTGATTTCCTTTCCTCTATTGCTCTATTTCTTTGCTTATCATTTTCTAGTGTTTCATTCTCGGTACCACCCACCAACCCACTAAACGGACGGCGGGCTCTATTAAAGGTCAGTGCTAGCCTTGGCGGTCAGCACCCTGATGCGGGCAGAGTTGCAGGTCTTGCAGAGGATGTGTCCATCCAGTGGGTAGCAGCCTTGGTTATCTCCTTCAGACAGGAGGCCGCCACAATCCTGGAAAAAATGAAGACGGGCGGAAACGGCGTCAGTGAAACATGAAGTACGTAAAGAAGATCAAATTCCTTAGGTTTCCATCCAAAGGCCTCCATAATGTGGCTACTCACTACTTTTTCTATTTCATAAACCGCCAAACCCCTCAATTCCTTCCCCCCGTACATAAACGTGATATTTATTCAATAAAGTGAGTTAGAGATTGGGAATATAAATACAAAGGAGGTTAAAATGACCCTCCTAAGGTCACTTAGGAGCCCTGGTGGTGCAGTGGTTAAGAGCTCCTCTACTAACCAAAAGTTCGGCAGTTCGAATCCACCACTTGCTCCTTGGAAACCCTATGGGGTTGGAATCGACTCGACAGCAGTGGGTTTCGGTAAGGTTACTTAACATGAAATACAGACACAGGAAGAGAAGCACCTAAGGCTCTAGTTTCCTAAGTAATGGTTCTGTCCCTTCCCCCAAACAAGAAGAGAAAACAAAAGAATAGATCTCTAACCACTTAAGTTCATCTGAACCCTACAGTTCATCTTTACCCTCTATCATTAGTTTAAGGCTCTCTCAAAGGGAATACACCTGTGTATGAATGGAATTTCTTGGCCATTTCTGGGTAAAAGCAAAGCTGTAGAGTAATTCCTGCCAAACAGAAGGACCACCAGTGGATTCTGCACATTTATTCTAATGGTGAGTAAGAAAATAAAACCTTGAAGTTTGTGAGGAGAAGTGAT